CGCCCTAAACTCGTTTCGTATACGCTTATTTTAACGGTAAGAAATCGAGGTCTTAGCTAAATAATAATCCACAAACCACACTAAGTCTGATACTTAAAAATTTCAATGATTTCTAAGGATAAGATTCCAGACGTGTGATTGCTTAAAAAAACAGGAAATTCAGCACGTTTATGTGTGTTTATATACAATTATTAGCTTTAAATGACGTTTAATTGTTAGTAATAAAGCATAATATGCTTCCGAATTTTGTACAGGTGACAAGGACGATGTTGCAAGTTGCTCATCTCCTAGAATAGTGGGAGAGAGTACCAGTTTTCCAGAAGCGTGACTGTGTCTAACATCTGTTGGACTTTTCGTACGTTCGTATGTTTGACCCAAATGACGTCACGTTAAACAGAAGTCTTTTTCGGTTCCTTTTTTCTCCCTATGCTCTGGCATTCGCACCGTTGCAAAATTAGAGGATGGAGCAAACTGGATGAACCGGGTGGAGTCTCCAACTGGTTCTTTAATATGTACAATAGTATAATGCCCAGTAGAGGAAGTGAAAGTAGCCGACGAGCATTCCCACCTACAAATAAATAATTGCTTCCTTGCTTAGAAAGTGGTAAACTTTTTTTTTCCTTTTCTCTTGGCTGTTGTTGTCGGTTTTTTGATAGACCTCCCTCGATAATAATAGAATGCAACTTGATTCTGTTTACTAGATTTTTACATTTGAAAGTAGGAAGAGTGATTGTCGTCTTGATAGTTAACACGTTCCTACCGTTTAAACATATAAAATTTCATGAAATTTTTTTGAAGTAAAAAGAATTTATAGCAGTTTTCTTTTTATAAAAATTGCACGAATTGAATTAAACTCTGTTTTAAAAAGGAAATTGCATTGATCTGCTTATTAATTTTCATTCGAAGAAGTCATAAATTTCATCAGCTTCCCTCCTTTATAACGCATAATTTCATAGCTATACTTCGTGAAAAGTGTAAATTTAATAGACTCAATCTCAAAAAAAAGCATACATTTCTCTTATTTAGAATTTCTTATTACTTATTTATATATATCATTGTTTGAATTTCAAGAAATAGAAAATTTCATAATTACAATTCCAGAAAATGTAAATTTATAATGAAATTATATATTTTACTCTAGAAAAACGTCATGTATTTCATTGCAACTTTCAGTTCTTCACTCTCAAAACAAAAATGCAAGTTTTATACCTTAAATCCGGTAAAATATCACAAATTTTATCAATTTCTAATAAAAAAAAATTGTAAATTTCAACAGAGCACGCTCACAGAAAAATCACAAATGTCAATTTCTAACAAAAAAATTGTAAATTTCAACAAAGCACGCTCACAGAAAAATCACAAATGTCAATTTCTAACAAAAAAATTGTAAATTTCAACAAAGCACGCTCACAGAAAAATCACAAATGTCAATTTCTAAGAAAAAAAATGTAAATTTCAACAAAGCACGCTCACAGAAAAATCACAAATGTCAATTTCTAAGAAAAAAAATGTAAATTTCAACAAAGCACGCTCACAGAAAAATCACAAATGTCAATTACTAACAGAAAAATTGTAAATTTCAACAAAGCACGCTCACAGAAAAAAATCACAAATTCCGACAGAGAATCAAAGAACTTTTTAATCCCACAATCTTTAATAAAAAAAACCTTCCCATTCCCTCTCATTAAACAGAATTTTAATGAAGGAAAAATGGAAACATTCAGAAAGTAGAAAGTGTTTTTCGGACATGTTCTGGGTGTGTTCATCGACGCGTGGAACTCCATCCCGTCACCGAACAGATAACGCTTGGAGAAAGTGAGATTCTAAAACGGATCTACATGACATACATTTAGTATTTGGAACAGGAAAATACAAGTAATTAAAAATATGCATATATGTGTTCCCACAGAGGATACGCTTGGATGATGTTTTATATACATAACATATATTAAAACTCAATTATTAAATTAGTTAAATGTAATATACTAATATATATATATATATATATTTCTCTTCGATAATCTTTCAAAATCAAGGGTGGAGTGGAGCGTGTATTAAATTAAAACTTGAACTATACACTTTATCAATATTATATATATATATATTTGTTTGCTTTTTATGAAAGGTGTAGATAAAAATTGAAAGGATTCCATTCAATTTCGTTACTTGTAATCCGTCAGATAAGAAAATAAAGACAAGTAGTATCTTAAGATATCTTCAACTTGTATATATTCAAGAATTTTATATTTAAAAAGTTGGAATATTTAATTGCATTGTTGTTTTCAGTGTTTACAATTGGTTAAATGGGAATTTGAGTTAGATAAGAATGAGAATTTATGTGTCGGAGACGAATCCAGAACCAGTTTTTTTCGACTTTTTAAGCAGTGACAAAGCGAACAAATTGTTGTTTAACGTGATGAACCGAGACAATAATGGCCGACAAAGCGATTTCGATTGGATTTAAAGGATGTAATGAGGATCTAATCAGAAAAAAAAAACGAGTTTGAATGACTTTTTTCGCTTTATTTTTACACAGTTTTTCCCGTTCGAGAGGTAAACCCCCTGTTTGTTCTCTCGTAATTTTCCTGCCACGTGTTTCTTATTTCCGTAATGAGGAATGTTTGCTGAAATTATGAAAATAACTGTTTTCGTGTTTATATGCCATTTCTGGCAACCGAGTAACCCGCATTCCACGATGTGACCTAACAGAAGTCAATGTCAAAGGTCAGTCATGGAAGCTGAAGCAGCCGATAGAAGCTATCCCAATTAATCTACATCAAATCCATTCTCTCCGCCTTGTGTGGTCGTTAGTCGATGATACCTGGCCCAGGTGGTAGATGAGCACGTGCGCCACGTTCTACGTAAACACCTGTCGCCATGGACAGGTGTTTGTAACGTGGAACACCCTCCTTTTCTGTCCGTCGTGTGTCAAGGTAAGGTTAAAGAATTTTAGTTTCTATCCCATTTGGATTATAGATAGTTTTTCCTTGGTTCTTTTTAGAACGGGTTACCACAACTTGTAAGTATCTTTACTATGAATGATGAGACTCGATCATGATTCGGTTCGCGCTGAAAGGTCAAAGATCACCACCGGGAGCAAACGAACAACAAATCTTGATCATAATTGGAGTTTAGTTATTATAATTATCTACAGACAGTACCCACCGTTCGCCGGTTTATAATTAATATACACTTCGTTAGGATCACGTTTAATGGAAACTCGTCCAATGGGTCAATTCTTAACCCTTTGATAATTGAATTGTTTGTTAGATTTAAGAAGTCGACTCTTTATTAAATAAATCAGAAAGTTAATAATCATGCACCTGCCTTTGACTATTCATAGGAAGTGTCGTAACTCGCGGTCCTAATCTTAGAGCCATTAGCAACACTTCAACCTGCTTAGTCATCAATTTACAACGAAGGATTTCATAAATTCCGTTTTACTTAATTAAGTAATTATAGTTAGTTTAATTAGGAAAGAAAGGCAAGATTTTAATTTTAATTATATATATATATTTTTTCTTTTAAGTTATTTTAAGAAGGTGACGTTAGAAGCCATAGAAGAAAATGGCTTGTGTTAAGAGTATGCTTTTTTTCTTAAGCCAAAGTGAAATTTTGCAAGGGCAGATAATGATTTCTTAACGAAAATTGGAAGCTCAATTTTATTTCGAGAGCGAGTTTACTTTTCCATCTGCTGTTCCTTCTCTAAAGTAGCTTGAATTATGTTAACAGTTAGATACCTGTTGAAATTTGGGTCGCTCTCGTGCAATGACGCAATCGCTGGACCGCGCATTACCCCCTTTTCTTGAACGGAAAAATTCTCTTGAACAACAAACGAATGACCGACGTAAATTAAGATTAGAATTTACTCAGAACTAGTCCAAATTCTAGCAAAAAACATTTAAATTAAAATTTCTAAAAATTTCTCTTTATTTTAGTTACTTCTTTTCATAAAAAAAAAAAAAAAGTTATCATTAGATAAACTATTCTTAGAAATTTTACTACACTAACATTTGTTTTAAACGCGAAATTGCGCCATTGCTTTCATTAGCATCTCAGCAGGTAGCGATTGCATTGGTGTTCAAAGACATGATTCTGTCAACAATTCAGACGGATGGACAAAGTGAGGAAAATTCAGCAAAAAATCCCTGTCATTTGATGTTATAAATTGAATAGAGACATGTAAAAATGACAATATTTGGAAGGTAATTCAACATCCCTCCCCTGTAAGTAAGATCCGTGACGAATTCTTATTTTCAAGACACTCATTCGGACACTATATAAAAGAATAGTTCGACCTGAATAAGTTTTGTAGGTCGCTCGTGTCAAGGTTTCCCCCCGATTGCTTTGACTTAAAAAAATAAATAAATAAATAAAAAGAAAAAATTGTCAGACTGAAGAAGACACGATCATGTGGACCCGAAGGGAACAGCCAAGACAGCTCTTCTATAAATATCTCCACCCCGGGTTTTACAACAGTCCTTAACCCTAATTCTAGACACGGGAATAAAGAATTTTCCAGAGAAAAATATACGAAAATATTGTTTTAAACAAATAAAATTGGAAAGTGGGAACGTTCGATTGCAATGCGAGGTACTCTCAGAGCACGTGTCGATTACAATCGATCCTAAAGAATTTCCACGGAATCGATTGGTAAAAGTCATTTAAGCTAAGCATCGGAGCGAAACTTTAGTTGAAAAAAATGGAAGTAAAATGAAATGAAATTCCTTAAAAGTTATTTTAGAAGAATAAGAATATTTTAGAAAAGTTGATTTTACGCGTTCTTGCCTTGTATTAAGTTGCGATCTAAAATAAGAATAGTCTCAGACGTTGAATTAGTATATGGGTTAATCAGTTGTCACATACTGTCAGTGATATTATCCCGAATAATTTAAATCGTTTTAAATATATAAAACCTCCTAGCAACATAAATTTAAAACGTTAAAGTATATCTACTGGAGCCTACGATCTAAATATAAACTTATTTAAGTCAGACTCACCTAGCATTTTACTGAGATCCGCGTTATGCAAATCGGGATTTTCGTCTGCTAAACGTTTTCTTTCAACTTTAGCCCATACCATAAATGCGTTCATGGGTCGACGGATCCTCGTTTCCTTACTTCCACTTTTGGTCTGATTTTGCGTTTCGATTGGGGATGTCATGGGAGATTCGGGTTGACGGACTGTCTCGTGGTCACCCAAGTTTGTTGAATAGCATTCTTGCCATTCGCCATAACAATACATGCTAAGGCGTTCGTTTGAGACTATGTCTGGATCGCCGTAGCTTGCCATAGTTAACAGCATGGACAGTCCCAGCCAGCAGTGCCTTGCCTATCAGACAGCCTATATGCCAACTGGCTGGCAGCCAGATCACAGTACTCTTCTCTATCTGCTCTCCGCAGGCACTCATGACCTGCTGCGACGCAAGGGATGACGGGTAAACAGTCCACCCCTCTTACGACCAATAGCAACCGGTTACACGCGGCTATTTCACGTTCTGTTTCGTTCCCGGCTCTGACGTCACCGCCGAGTTCTCAACCGAATTTTATTTCAACGTTTTGTTTCCATAATTTTTATGATAAATTCTTATACTTTTATTCTTATTAAATACAACATAAAAATGTATTTTTTCCGCCTGTTTTATTTACATTTAAAGTAATTGGATGAGTATACAAATTTCCATAAAACTCCATTGTTTAAGGGAGTAAAATTGAAAATCATACACACATCACACACACAAACACACATGATAATGAGTCAACAATACTCGAAATTTCTTCTCTACTCCACTTTTAAACGTATATTTTTTTTATACATTTATATAACATTTCCTTATCTTTAATCGGTTTTTGGACCCTTTTCGATACGAAACGGTCGAACAAAAATCGGTCTGCTAAGCAGCTGTTAGACGGGAAATCACAGCATTTGGCCATTAGGAGCCACACACTTTCACAGCTGCCTGTTAAACAGACTTTCTATAAAATTGCTAGGCATATCACCTAACCGGAAACCAAACAAAAAATATACAAAAAAAATTATAATCTAATTATTTAAATAGTTAGAGAAGGCTTGTAGTTTACTAACAGAAGAAAAATAGCTTTAAAAAAAATTAAAGGATGAATAGTGTTATGGTACAAATGAATGGAATCGATTTCTATTCTAATCAATCAAGCGATACTTCCCCCCCACCAACACGTTTCTTTATAATCATTTTGTGCACCATTGATGTTTTACACCTTCGAAGTTTATAAGGATTGTATCAATCAGTATCAGAGCATCCTCTTACAAGACACGTTTCATTGATTGTACCAACAAACATGTTCCACTTATCAGTGTCATTCTCTCGTTAAGTAGGGTCGTTAAATCTTCAAATTTATAAAAATTTTAATTATTAAACTAAAATATAATCTTTTCATTTCTTAAAATTCTTAAAATATATTCTCTTATTTATAAAATTAGTGAAGAAAGTATCAAATTTCTCGTGACCAAGCTGTAACGCGCCGCTTACATTGTCTTCAAATTACAACTAATTGTATATATAAATATGATTAATTTTAACGATAATAAATATACTTTTTTATAATTTGATACGAGATTTATTTTTAAATTATATTTTAATTCGTTTTTTTATTTTATAAATTCAAAAAAAAATGCTAAAGCGGGAACGTGTTTAGTAAGGGGTGGAAGCATGAAGCACGTTCAAGCTTCATACTTTTGCATGGTGTTAGAGAAAGAAGAGTGATTTTTAATATTATTTCTTGATTAATTCTACAAGTTAAACATAATTTTGACGTCTTTCTAATTTCTCTACGGGGATAGAATACTGTCAATTCTTTCAACATCGAATGACACAAACGACCGCACCTTTAGCAACCACTTCGAAGAGCATCGATTTTAATAATTAATACTTAATTGTAACATACGAAAACAGGAAAAATTCGACGAAAGTGAAAAATAATCCCCTTTTTTTTGTGGAAAAAAAATAGATTTGACCCATGCTCGGTTTTTAAATATAGACAAAGAGATATACCTCTTAGATCTTGTCACAGCCTAGTAAAGATCTGGGACCTGTGAAGAAAGCTATATACAAAGTTAAAAGGTGCTGTAGTTGCCTGTCACTGACCCCTCCCAACTGTCAGGTGACATCGCGTGCATTTGCAGACAAACACGCCAACTTTACTCACCTTAGCAACTAAAAAAACAACCGGTAGTGTCTAATGAGCGATTCTCTACAAGAAATTTAGTGCTATTACTAGTGCAGAATCCTCAATGCACTGTTTCAAGTCGGCCGTACGTAAGAGGTCATCAGATAGTAACACGTTGTTTCCGCAATGCTTTAATTAACCTAACCTCTGTCGATATGCCATTAATAACAACTAAACGTTCTAAATTCTTGGTTACGTGTCCAAAAACTCACCCCTTTTGACTCTTAAAGGAAGATAAAAAGACACTCCCAAAGAATCCACGTTGCCTTCACCCCCAGTGATCGATTGCTTGATTTGTTGGAGTTATTAAGAAACTTAGCTTATCGTAGGCGAGTTAATTTGATAAGAATTATATCTTTAATGTCGAAATTTATATATTTTTCTCGTTTCGTTTGTTTTCTTACCTTCTGTAGCTCATTTCTTAAGGAGACACTGTTTACGACTTCAAGTATAGACAGAGGACTTTGTCATATCGGTTATATAACACTACGTCACATTAAACTACAGGCAACACGATATGAGTTGTACACAGGACAAAGTCAAAACATAGGGATATTCGGTGAATTTTTCTGTTAATTATCTTATTTTTTCAGGCGAATGAGAAGGATCTTTCGAAATCTGTCTGTTGCTTCTTTCGTCGAAACAGATTACGCTTTTTAAAATAGATAAACATCAGTAAAAAGCGATAATTTAGGTTAAGAAATGGAAATATTATTTGTGAAAACAAAGTAAATATAGCTAGAAGGGCTTATAAATTAATGAAACTTTCGTTAGAAGGATTAAAAGATGCGAAAGAATAAAGGAAAGTTAATGGATTCTTTCGGCGAAAAACCACTCAAAAATCTTTTATTTTCTGACCTCGAATTAGTATAGAAAATCGTAAAACTATCTTAAGACGTCCATTAAGTGTGAACCGATTTAGAATTATTAATTAGAAGCTATTAAGATTGCAGATGAGAGGTGTAGATAAAGCCCACCGCTCTAATTGCTATTCGACAAACGACCTGTTAACAGATCGTTAGCGGTCCTTTTGACTTTTCGGCAATTGTCAACATATTCTTCTCCATCATCACACCTGCAGAATACTGTTTTTAATGGAACTAATTTATTTATTATTAAATTAGTGAGATATCTGGTAAAGATTTTTCCTTATTTATTTATTAATTTCTCTTTGTGTAACTGTGTTATAAAGAAAGGTAGACAACGCCCGGATTTTTTCCAGTCAAAATGCATTTTTCTCCCTTTTTTACGCTGTGTACGATTGGCTATTTATCATTTATGTATTGTGATTAGATCAAATCAAAGCTATCATTATGTATTTTTTTGTCATTTTTAAGGACCCTTTGCCAGTTTCTCTTCCGATCAAACACGCATTGTTTGTAACGAATGAGTTGATTCGTAGAATAATTATTTGCTGGTTTCATTTATATCAAATCGAGTTTTTCTCTTCTATTATGTAATTCCACGACTTCATTATTTATTTATTTTTATTACTTTTTTTTCAATTTAAAGAATAGAATTTGTCTTTAAAAGGTTCGAAAAGTATCGATACAATTTGCTAACGTTCACGCATTAATAAATATTCTTTTGTTTTTTTTTTTAACCGACATAAATTAAAATTGTAATAAAATTTTTATTTATTACATAATTTTAGTTTAAAAAATTACATTTTTTTAAAGTTTACACTCGAGTAATTTTATTCTATTATCGATTTTTATCGATATTAAAAACAATACGTCGAACGTCAGCTTAGATAATGGTTAAAGTTGAGCCAGGGAATTACACTTATTCACACTTTTATTGCTTTGAAATGTCTTGTTATGTATAATTTTCTGAAATTTGGAGAGTTTATTGTGTTTTTTGGCATATTTTTTAAAGATTTTTTGGCTCTTGTGATTGGCTATAATGTTCAATAAAATTTCAGGATGTTCCTTCATTAATCTCTTTGAAAACTTGAAATCAATAAGCAAAAATCCTTGGAATTCTTACTATTTTTTAAAAAGAAAAATAATTCGTAGAATTCTCAAAATTTTTTTTAAAAAATTAGGAGTTTCTGCCTGTTTTAAGCGCCCTTTTTTGCCAGTTCTTTCACAGTAGGTTTGGTTCTGTCGATTTAAGAGAAGTGACACATTGGCACCATCAAATTGTATAGCTGTTGGCGTCGAGGGGTTCCTTATTATTTTCAATTGGACACGTTGTACTGATAGAAAAGGAAATGGAGGAGGCATTTGGCTTCTACCGCTTATACAACTTATCACATAACTACTTAAATCTTAAGTATTCCTTATCTACGACAATGTAAAACTATCTATCAATAGCCTAAATACCGCTACCAATCTATTAAATAATTCTAAATATATGCTAATTGAACTATTTTTATTTAATGATACTCCTATAAATATATAAAATTATACTTAATTTTATAATTTATATAAGAATATTTCTATATATTTATATTTACATAAGAGAGAGAGACCTTTCTCCTGCCTCAAATTATAAATTTAAAAGCATGAGGGGCCTAAGTTATACACGCCTAGTTTCAGGCCCTAAATTGTGTGTCCCCTCCTAATCCTGATGCATCGTTGTAAAGAATATTTTAAAAATTCTTGTCTTTAACTCTTGGTCTTTAAATATTATGTAAAAAACGATTGGTATTAGGACAGGATTATTAGACTCCTCGTGGATCTCACCTTCTAATCCTCAATTTTCAAGGAATAAATTTAAAGTCATTACAATGGGATTGCTTATGACCCCATAAAGCACTAGTGTGTCCTTATACCCAAATGCTGCATTGATAAACTAGGCTGTAATGCCTACATAAGACATATAGTGCCTAATGTTATTTATGAATAGAGGGGTACTAACAGTGTTAGTACTCCTCTAACCATAAATAATAATTTTTTTAATTAATCAACATTAAAATTTTAATGCTAAATCAGTGATTTAATTGCAGTTATTAATCTAATCTAATTTTTATACATTTTAGTTATATAACTTTCAATATATTTATCAGATATACAAGACATATGATGATTAATTTGTGAAAATAGAAGTGATTTATGAGTGTAATGATAAATTTTATAAAAAATTATACGATTCTAAGGTTAAATTTATAAATTTTATATTAAATTTTTTTTATTTATAAACAGGAAATTCTAATGAGATAGGCTCATGTGCCTGTATAAAGCATGAAGTAGGCTA